TTCTTTTTGAACCATCTTTACCATCCTGCTGGTTCCCTCATTAATTTGCAAGAGATTCATTCTGGAAAATTATACTTGGACAATGTCCATAATGCATGCTTGGACAAGTATATATTTGTTAAAAAGTGGCTCATTCCATTGATTAAAATACGAGGACACCCCCTCCTTTTAGCTTATTTCTGCATTTCCAGGGAGCTCCTGAGGTCCTTGTAAGAACTAGAGATTTGGGGAAGGCCCAGAGCATTTACTCAGATCCTGCTTTATCCTTTCTTTCCTCTTGAAGGCCGATGGGGTTTCACCTCAGGCTTCTCCTTTATAGCTCCCACCAATGCTTACTTTCCTCTCTGGGATCCTGGTCTGTGTCCAGCTGATGATGTAGTAAAGGAATGTCTTCTAAACAACTTTCTGCCTTCCTTCCTCTCCCAGTCTTAGAAATAGGCACCCTAAATGGTTTCATGTTTAAAGTGCTTTTATTCTTAATGCAAACACATACAATGGTGAGGAAAAATAAGCAAAGGGTCAATTGCAGTGTGCTCAAATTCTTAAAAAGTACTTTCAGGTTTGCCTCCTGGCCCGCCTCCCCACTAACAATTGCCCACCTGCTCCACTTTAGCCTCCATTCTCCATTTAAAGATAAATGAGTCAGCTCTGCTTCCAGCTAACCTCCTTCCTTTTTCTCAAACTCTTTGAAAGTTCCCTTGGGAGTTTCAGATCGTCCCTTCCAGCCATGACTCTTTTATTCCCAAGGGTTGCGTTATCAGGCCCTCTACCCTCCTTGAGAAAGGTGTTAATGAGCCTGCCATTCAAGTTACCCCAGACTTAGGAGGATCTTTTTACCACTGAAGGATGCTCTAAGCTGGCGTCTCTAACCTCAAGGTCTGGGCACCTGGCTTGGCCCACTACTTTCCCTAGGAAAAGTCAGCTGAGGTCATTGCCTAACAGAACCCAGGCTCCACTGACCTGTTGCGTAGAGGTTTCCAACTGAGAAGTGTAGGGAGGTGGGTTTTACAATGTGTATAGTGCGAAGGGATGTGTGAGGGAGGGATGTTTGAGGGGAGGGGCAGAGTCAATGTCTTTGGAAAAGGCATACATTTCATTGTAATTTTATACTTGGAGCATTTCTAACAATTAACATTTTTGATCGTATAAATTACAGAGAAATATGCATATGACAAAACTGGCTGTTGGTGATGCACTGAAAATGCAGTACGATGTTGGTGATGCACTGAAAATGCAGTACTATGACTGTGTGGGGTGGGAAGTCGAATCATTGGAATCTCCTGGAGATAGAAGATTTTTTTTTTTTTTTTGCGGTACGCGGGCCTCTCAGTGTTG